CTGTCGTTAGGAAACGAGTACTAGGTAAGGATGGCAGATCAATAGATGAAGTGGTGAAACTTCATCAGTTGAGGTGGTTGGGACATGTGTTGCGTATGCCTAACCACCGACTGCCTCGACGAGCTATGTTTTGTGGTGTAGGAGTAGGTTGGAAGAAAGTTAGGGGCGGCCAGACCAAAACATGGCACAAATCCATGAAGTCACTGACTAGTGGACTGAGTCATGTTAGTAGATGTAGACTACCTGGTTGGGGTCCGCGAGACGAAAGTCATCAATGGTTAGAGACCTTGAACGACATGGCTCAAAATCGTTTGCAATGGCGCAGGTGCATCCACTCTTTGAGCTCTCTCAAATCCTAATCTTCTGGAATCGTCAGCTCCTGTACCTTTGTCTTTCTAACCTTATCTCACTGAATTATATTTTTTGAATAATATCTTAAACCCTAGTCTTCTTTATTATAACATTAATACCTCTACCATCTTTATGACTATGGGATTTGATTTGACATTTGCGTCTCTGTGCTAATAATGTGGTATGGCAACATGAACTTGTGTACATACGTACGAAGTTCTACGTTGCAACTGACTGACCACTACATAATAAATCATACAAAATTAGTTAGTCAATTGATCAAGAGCTTATAACACAGCAGAATATAAGTGCAGTGAGAAGATGAAGATTATCATAACTACGTGATATATTTCAGCGCAATACATTTAAAACAATCTAATCACATATATACTTGTTAAGAAAATTTATATATGAAAAATAAAATGTCGAATTAATCAAAAAGACTAACTGTTTGAAATTTGAATTTGAATATGTAATAATCTAGTTACTTAATAACTATACAATGAGAATATATAAAATAATAACCCATTAGTTAGCCCTAAGAGTTAATATTTTTCTAATCTTCCGTCGAATATCTTAGTTTAGTCATTACATTTTCTTCAACAATCACTATAGTGGTTAGAAAACAAAGTCTTCAACCATTATGTCTAAGGTCCGCATCGCTTATTTCGTTTTGGACTGTTGAGTAGTACCACTAGCTCAAACAAATAATGTGGCTCAAGGCCGAGTACATGAACATATGTTCGTGAATGAATTTTTTAACTGACCTTATTCTTTATTGGTTGATTACGTCATGATACTAATAAAGCGAGTTTCGACAACCCTATCGACCAGTTCTCATGTTTTTGATTCCTATATTCAACCTTGACAATACCCAGTTAGTATTTACAACCGTAAATTATAAATTATTTTTAGATTTTGAGTATTGGACACTCGAATCTCTAACCGTTCATTAGTAGCGTTATTTTGTGCTTTATGCTTATTACTTAATAGACATATTGATATCCTCAGAGCATCATAGTGTTTTCGTAAAGATTTCGCGAATGATTACTTCATCAAGACTAATAAAACTAGCCATGTGTATGATTTAGTCAGAAAAGTTAGTTGCTTCTGTTGTAACGGAGGTAATATTGTTAAAAGCGGTAACTTTTATCGTTTATATTCTTATTCTATAATAATTAGACATTTAGATTATTGTAATTCAATTTGAAATAGGTTTGGATTATCCTATTCATATTTTAACTGAAATGTTATCGGTTGGTTAATGGACATGGTATGCGGATTGCCTCAGTATAGCCATTATTAAACAAGTTTTTATAGAATAGATGGAATAAGGCTAGGAGCAAAATCCAGGACACACGTTTCGTCCTAGTTGGGACTCGTCAGCTGGATGTACCTGCATCTTGGAGTTGATATTCAATCCGGGACTCGAACCTAGCAATGTTTGGACTCAGTAGCTAAGCTGGTAACGCGTTGGCATTTGAAGCAAATGTTCTTGTCGTGTTGTTTTATCGGAGTGAATCCTAGGGATGGAGAGTAAAGCTGCATCGAGGACCACTGGATGATTATCTCGGTTAAAGCTAAAGGTTAATCATCAGTGGAACCGTAGGATGTTAGTCTTTGGACGAAATCAGTATGTACGTAGTAGAGAATTATAATCTGATCTAGTGATGTCAATTACAATTGCAATCATAATAGTTTCAGTTTTGCTTTCACACGTAAGTTGAAATGATGATGCGAACTATTTTTAGAAGCTCATTCTGCACAAAAAATCTCACCTTTTTTTCTCGCTTATGGACCTGGTTAGACGCAAACTCAAGCCCTTAGAATATTAGTTAATTTTGTCCTGTTTTTTGTAATTATGCTCATTTTTGAATGGGTATCAGTCTACATAGTGAAATCGCTCACTAGCTTTAAACTGTTCTCAGTTAAAATCAAATACTAAGAAGTACCGAGTGAATCGGTGGACATTTTTATGCCTAATATCGTACTTACAAATATTTCATATCTTCTTATGCACTACTTACTCATTCTTCAAAGTGATTATATTTATGTTATGCAAAGAGTTTGTACACAACATTCGTGTGTCATTTATTAGGTAAGGATTCAGCACAGTATCATCTTTCATTCGTTTGATTCTTGTATCTGATGGTTGAGTACACATTACTACACCACACTTTGAACTATGCTTATTTATATATCTAAACTGATTGCTTTCATGAAGGTCCATAATGAAAATATCAAGCATTCGATCAAATGTTTAAACTACAACGCTACATACAGAACCAGCAATAAGTGATAATGTGATAATCCGTAAATTCAGGTCGAGACTTTTCAAACCAATCAATTGTGATGAGTGAATTTGGCGGACGCTGGATATTCTTTACACAACTTACGTTTTTGCTCTTCTACACTAGTTCTAACGATAAAAGTATACTTTATGGATAAGCCAATCAAAACCGAAAACTTGACGTTTAGATTTTTTGCTTTGAGTCAAAAGAGCATGTATAGTGATCAGTAGAAATACTTTTGTATGTCGCTTTAAAACATTCAAAATAATAGCAAAAACATTTTTTGCAGCTGTAGAAAAAAAGTGATCATACTAAATTCGTCTAATGCCTAATCCTGTCTCTTCTGATTGTATGTAAGGGGTAAATCTACAGTTTACCTGATTTCTAACCGTATACCCTGTCGGCCTGCTTTAATATCGGGGCTATCTGTTTCCTAAAGTCAAAATATTTCAATAAGTTACCTCTGTTTGTTTTTTAATATATCAGTTATGCATAATAATCGCATGATCTATTCAAGTGCATATATAAAATGTTTACGAGTTATCGCTTCACAAGGTTTGAAAAAGTAAAATACTAGACATCTTATTGGCTAGTGATTAGCTGAAGAAACAATGCACGTTAATAAGATGTCGATTCCTGCATTGCTTACTTCCAAATTCCGATCACTAATTGTTTTGTAAAAGGAACTTGTTTAAATATTCCTTGCTGAGAATTCCATATTGTACTAAACATATAATATTCAATAAAGTTATTATTATTATTATTTATTGTAAAATATACCTAAAATTTGTAGCGTTAGAATTTACGGTCGAACAAATTAGATAGCAACTCCCTTATTCTTATGCAAAATCCATTCATTTACATAGTTACAGAGCATTTTCATATCATAGCTAATGTCAGTTCCTGATAAAAACCCTAACTATGAACTCCTGATTGTCACACTAATTAAGAAACATGTAGAGGCTGTCAAAAATCTGTTTGGATCCTTTAAAGTGTTCAAGACTATGAGCGAACTATAACCAGTAGGACGAGTTTATGTTGTTTTTTTGCGATTTACTGACAAAGTCACTTGTGGCACAGTTTTGGAGGTTTGCGATTTTTTTTACACATTCGAAATCATCAATCAATCATTGTTAGACCACCATTAGAAACCTGGAAGCACTGGACGGCCGTTTCGTCCTGGTATGGGACTCATCAGCAGTGCGCATCCACGACTCCTGCTCCTCGCAGGATTCGAACCCGGGACTTTTGGCATTGTAGGCGAACGCCTTACCATCGGACCACTGGGCAGGCATCCAACGGTGTTAATGTCTAACTCTGATTGATCTAGGGATTTTGCGCGACCTCACCCATTTGTCTTTGGTAGGTACTGCTGACGAGTCCCATACCAGGACGAAACGGCCGTCCAGTGCTTCCAGGTTTCTAATGGTGGTCTAACAATGATTGATTGATGATTTCAAATGTGTAAAAAAAGTCACTTGTAGAAGACATTAATAGACCTATTAATTGCGTAAAGTTCTTTACATTGAATACTATTATTGTTTTCTACATAAACTATCCACTCATAAAACCATTTTTCGGCTAGACAGAAACTGTTTGGGAATTTGTCATGGTTGTTTTAAGCTTGTTCTCATACTTTTGCTTTATCTGTTCAGTAAAGTTTTGAAGGCTTTAATCAAGATAGAACTAAGCATTATTTATGCGCAAGTGATTCTTTTGTTGTTTATATTACCTACTTTTTCTTACTTTCGATTAATCAATAAGCCTATGCATTTCATAGGGATGCATTTTTAAAGCGAATGTCAGATGTGGGTACTTTTTATAGATTTAAGTGAAATTTAATTTTTTAAATAAAACATCAAAATTTAAATTTTTAATATCTGTGACGAACGTAGATGGTAAGGCCGGATGAGGACACAATTTATTAGCCATAATGTGTACACATCCATTTGCAAAACAAGTGTATTCTTGGCTGTCTTCTTACACATATCTTCTATTCTTCAAAACACTCTGATCGGATCGTACATCCAGTTCGGACACTCTTCTTCTTCTTCTTCTTCTTCTTCAACAGTAACTTCATGGCGACACTGCACTGCATACTACTGATAAGTTCCGTTGTGAATAGTATACACCACATAACTAACAAGTAATCATGTGTTGTGTGTTACTATTAAAAAGAATAAATTATTATGGATATCTCTCTATTAAATTATAAGATATCTTATCAATAGGTATTGATTTTAATTCATAAATAAAATTAACTTCTACAGTTTTATCATGTGTATGTTATTTTTATTTTATTTTCTATAATACGCTTTTTTTTCTGATCACATTGTCATTCATCGATAATTATGGTAGATCAATGAACTATTCGAAGCAGATCCAAACTCAAAAGCAGTATTGAAAGAACAACTTTTATATTTGTGGGAGAATATTTATAATTCTTTTATTAATCAGGTAATCATCAGATTAATCGATTTGTTTATTGGTGTTGTATTATTTTTTTAAATGGATTAATAATTTGTTGTCAAAATATTTATCATACATGTATAAAATGTATGAATATAATTCTTTCTTTTTTGTTCTTGTAAAATGTACACATTTTGTTTGTGTGTGGTCCTTATGAAACTATTATGACGAATTTAGGATGTTGAAGTCTAACGTTTATATATTATAATATACGTTGTTGCTTTTTTATTTATACGTAGGATACATAATGATATATTAAACTGACGAATAATTTATTATAACTACGTAATTGACTTGTTCGTTGTTTTCATTTCAACGTAAGTGGACAAAAACAAAATTTCCAACATTGAGAGTCTAGTTTTGAGCGTAGTCATTTGTGATCAACAATTACTGAAACACATAAGCCTGAAAACCTGGTCCCTAGAGAACTATGCTTTCTTATGTCACTTAGAAAAGGGTAATGACTTCATTGGCTGGTACTGCTTTTATTTTATGCAACCCAGAAATATTCTATTCAACATTAAATCATGAAGTAAATAAACTATTGGTAGTTGCAATACGGTTCGACTAATGTAGCTAGTGACAAAAGTATCTATATGCCTTTTGAGAACGTCCACTAGATTCAGATGTTCTCAATTTTTCCAGAATAAGTTCTATTCATTTTACTAACGAATAAGCAAGTAGAAAATGTTTGTCAATTCAGATGCTGCTTTGTATACTAAACTTATTTCTGTCATTGGATTTCATTCTCATAAAGGAGACTAGATAAAATGACGATAATGATTATATCTTTTAAGATGTATTCAACACGAATAATTATTTTTTCGCCAAAATATATTCAGTTTTTTTGCTTTAAATATGTCTAAATGATATATATATAACACGTGGCATTGTAGTATTTTACAAATTATTTCAAAAGTTACTGGTTATCTCTGTTTGACACTTCTATTGTTATTTGTTAACGAATGTTACTTCTAAAATTCGTTTAGTATTACGGATACAGAAAGCTTGATTGACTTTTGCCAACCTTCGTCACTTATAGTGAAGGGGAGATATCCGTTTGTTGACCAAAGGACGAGTGTAATGCGCGGTAGTCCGCTCCGTCTTACTTTATGGCTGTGAAACATGGCAAGTCAGAGAAGATATTTGTAGGTTACTTGTTTTCGACCACAGGTGCCTCCGAAGCATTGCTCGAGTATCGTGGGACAACTGAGAAGCAATAATGTTGTTAGGAAACGGGTGCTAGGTAAGGATGACAGGTCAATAGATGAAGTATTGAAACTTCATCAGTTCAGGTGGTTGGGACATGTGTTGCGTATTCCTAACCACCGACTGCCTCGTCGAGCTATGTTTAGATGTGTAGGAGTAGGTTGGACGAAAGCTAGGGGCGGCCAGACCAAAATATGGCAGAAATCCATGAAGTCACCGACAAGTGGACTGAGTTATGTTGGTAGATGTAGGCTACCTGGTTGGGGTCCGCGAGATGATAATAATCGATGGTTAGAGACCTTGAATGACATGGCTCAGAATCGTTTGCAATGGCGCAGGTGCATTCATTGTTTGTGTTCTTTCAAATCCTAACCTTCTGAATCCCCCATCATCTCTATGTTTCGCTTTCCAAACGTATCTCATTGAATTATACTTCCTGAATCATATCCTCCCTCCCTAATCTTCTCAATTACTGCTAATACTTCTACTGTCTCTACCACTATGAGATTTGAACTGACGATTGTGTCTCGGTGCTAATAGGGTATGGCAACTTGAACTGCTGTACTTATGTGCAAAGTTCTGCGTTGCTGTTGAGGATGATGATGATTAGTATTACAATTTATAAATTTTCATACCTTTGTGTATTCGTTTTTTCTTTTTTCATTCCAGCCTATGAACTCTACATTGACCACTAATGAATCAATTGTTAACAATCATGCTTTATCATTTTCATTGAATAATCATATAGATTCCAGTGCTGTTGCACCACGTGGTATTGGCAGAGTGTCATTAAATCGATTTTTTATCAATACCACATGGCTATTTAATCGACATGCTTTAAGTTCAGTGAGTTTGTTGTTGTTGTTGATTCACTGTAATCTTGTTTATTCTGGTACTAGTCGTTGATATTAAATTCTGAATATGTAAAATATATTGTGATTTGATGAATTTAGCTTCCAGGTCTATTTAGAAGTAAGAAAAAAGATATCTTTTCCCATTATAAACGTGAACAGTTGAAGTCTGTAACAATCGGTCATTCTTTGTGTTATTGTTCCTTTGTGAATTGTTTCCAAACATGTTTGTCGTTTGGATGCTCATGTATATTAGTATAAAGTGCTATGTCATTCTTTTGTTCACTATACGCTTCCTAATGCTTGATTTAACCCTGACTAAATCAAAGAAGAAAATAGCGAGTGTTTACCTAATGCTCAAATGAATAATACGAACAGTTCATACTCATTTGCAGGTAGACATGATGTTTTGGAGAGCAACTACACAAGAAGTGACTGTGATAGAATAAAACATCCAATCTGTCATAATAGTTCTTCTGTGATTGAATTTTACTCAATTTAGAGCATTAATGACTTTCTCAGTCTGATTTAATTTAACGTAGGAGACGTCTGAATGAAAGTATAAATTTTTCTATCATAATTTAATGTTTCATTAATATGATCAATGATAACGATAATGCAGATTTGTTTATTTCTGTTTAATATAATATACTTGTTATTTCTTATGTTTATTCCATTTGTATGTAGATATTTGTAATTTTCAAACAGAACTTAGGCACATTGGCAACTATAACAGAATCATTATGGAGTTTAATGCGTAGTAATGTAAATTTGATTGCTCAGTTAATTACCACTTTAATTTCATTGATAATGAGTGGTGGACATGTGGCAATGAATTTTATGATTGCTTTTGTAAGTTCCCTATTATTATTATTATTATTATTATTATTATTAGTCACATGTTTTTCTCATCGAATCTTTTATTGTATCATTTATCAATTTAAAATAGGGATAAGGAAATTCTTTATAATAAATGACATATTTTGAACGTATTCAATCTATAAACAATGCAGAGCTTATCATTTAAATACTTACGTATTGTATCAATAATGATAATAACAATAATAATAATAATATATTCTGAAAATACTAAATGCAGATTTCATGCCGGTTCACAAGCAAGGTCACCTTAATATAGAAATAAATGTTTCTTTTAAGAGATAGATATGTCATGTTACACTGCTTAAAGCGTTCTAGTCGGAAAATTGTCCAGACAATACATTTTTTCTACAGAATTAACAGTAATGCAAGGCATCAGTCAGGAACTATTAATTCTTCTTAACTAGACATTCTGTTGCTGTATGAACGGTGTATTTAATGTTGTTTCTAGTGCCGTAACGCACTGGTTAGATTTATTTACAGCTGGCGAAAATCAAATGCTAACAGAGAGCACGGAAAAACAAAAGCATTAATTACAACGATAGGTCAGTCAAGTCTACCCTGACTGAGATACAAGGTTATTTTATGTGTTTTAATAATCGGGTTAGATACTATTCAGTTTAGCTAAATTTATAGAGGGATAGTGTTAGTGTACATTTGCTGCAAGTGAGGTGGTTTAGCCAGTATGCTCATTAATAAAACAGGTGAACATTTAGAGCTTGTCCTAGCTTTTGAACAAATTAATTAACCTTTGTTCGAGTTACTATTCACACGTCTTTCGACCTTGTTAAAATTATTCGCTTATATCTTAGTTGTTTTTATTTAAGCGCGTGTGTGCATTGCTTACTTCACTCATCACATGTCTAGCTTATTTTTTATCTGACTATAAATACTTAATCATACCTCATCGTATGGAGTCGGCTCACTTGCCTTCTGCATTTCACTTCACTTCACTTTGCCTTTACGATATCTGTCAGCATAAACGATTACAAGCAATAAACTCATCCAACTGTATCTGTATTTGGTTTCTTATTACCAATGTCGCACAAACGGCGTTCGACCAAGCATGGTGTACGTAAATTGAAGATCGATTTATTTCATAGCATATTCAATAATTCGTCCTATTATCCCATTTGTGGAATGGGATGTACTTACATCTGTTAGCACATTTAGGGCATTGTACAAGGAGTAGGTAGTATGCATTGATGCAGCAAATAAAAGATGTGAGTGATTTTATTTCACTGATTGATTGCGATAAATTATTCCAAAATCTCAGAATTTTAATGGTAAAATAATTCATATGAAGAGAAGATTTGGAATGAGATTGTATCACTAATGACAATGATTTACGGAATCTGTAACTTGGAGCCTCTGCATATCAAATAACTTCATTGGATGTAAAATATAGCTTATGCAGTCAGTTCTAGGAATGCGTAGTGTAATTTGTTTTTTTACGGTTTCAGCCTTAATTTATCCTTTATGAGAACTCTGCTAATAATGCAAGCGTGCAGTATTCTGATAGTGGTCAAACACAATTTGCACATTGAAATACGTGGCTCATTATTATATAAATCACGAATTATGCAACCTGGAAGATGTTGAGGCTTAAAGGTCTGTTTAGTTACCTGTTTTGCGAAGAACACATTATCGGAGTACTTGAGTCCTAAGTTCTCTACTGTATGCGTCATACGTAATCATTTCTCCTGTAGTATGAATTAGCAAAATACATTTCAATTGCAGTCCCAACTATCAGTCGGAAGATTCACATTATCAATACAAATTTGTTTGTATGATTTTCAGTCAACGTTTCTGTATCCATTGCACTTACATATTATAACTAATGCATTTCCAGCGTTTGTGTGTGTATCTATATTATTGGTTTTAGAGTTTTTATTTTTGAGAATAAGCTTGAAACAGATGTGTAAGACAGTTAAATTTTTCTGTTGACTTTTTTATTTGATGCTATAATTATTTACTTGGAAATATTTACTCACTCATGTAATCAGTTGCAATTAAATTTTGTTATTTTTTTAACCGTAGGTCTATTAATCGGAGGTCTTCACTGATTTGTTTGTTGTATTGATTAGTTCATATACATTGAAGAGTTTTTTTAATTGATTTTTAAGTGTGTGAACAATTTTTTAAGTTGTTAATAATTATATATTTATTGAGAGTATGACAAGTTTTATTGGAAATTATTGTTAAATTTGTTTATTTACATGAAATGTGAATAGTCTGTCTTATTGTCAATCGTGTACACTAGTTTCTATGTGTCAATGCAAAGAGTAGTTAATTATAAATAACGTTAGGACCTGACACAAATCATTGCCAATCAAAGTTGGCATCACAGAGATCCATACAGTAAAAAATGAACAAAGGAGGGGAAATTGTACTGACTATAAGACTGACACTTAAATGAAGATTTAAATAACAGTAAAGAATTATTGCAATTGTAGATTACAACAACTGATTGTGTTATATTATTCAGCGTCTTCAAAATTAAATTTCCAGTTTCAACTACAAAAATTCACTGGTACTTCAATAAACTCGGAGCAGCAGTCAATAATATGATGGGTGGACATTGTGTTTTATCTTGGTCACATTTAGCTTTTTCCCCCAATGTATACTGTTTTGTCAGCTAATTGAAGAGTACATTATATTAAAAAAAATAAGTAAATGTAAATTGAATGTGGACAAAATGAAATAGATTTAATATCATAAAAAGTTCACTACTTAGAATGAAAAAAAATGTGTTAAGTACATCTATTAACATTTTCGTGATGACTAATAAACTTCTATCTGTCCCACCTAACTGAGGTTGAAAGTATTTTATTTACATTAAATCATATTCAGTTACACTTGAAATTGTCACAATGTTTTGGGATTGATTTTCATCTTAAATGTATGATATTGACTAAGAGGGCTTGATACATTTTAAACCAAGTTCGATTCTGTAAAACATTTGTTTTATGTTGTCAAGTTAAAATGCCTAGTTTATTGTTAATATCTTATAAATGTATGCTATTATAACTGAAGTGATTTACTGATCGAATACCTGTACCTTTCCGTGAACGTGCGTAATTTTTGTAATGAAAGTGATATCTCAGGTGGATATCATTGTTTGAAGTTAACAAACGAATCGAATTTCTATTTGTACTTACACACAACTAAAACATTTTAAGTGAAACACTATCAACACTGGAATATGTTTAATTGATGTCACATCTCAGTAATCGCCCCTGATACACAAGTCATATTAATAAGTAATCGTTAATACTACTTTCAAGCTTGAGATTATAACACATTCATTCCATAAAGCATAAATGTTTAATACAGTTTATGCAGATTACCAAATAGACACAATCAAATGCAATTGAAATTAACTAACATCACTGACCTACCTGCTTTATGATAAAATTACCCCTCAGAATCAATTGGATTTATTGAGATGATTAACAAAAACAAACTATAAATGATGATCCAAATTGTTATTTAGATCATTTTAAATATTTATGCTTAAAATAGTTGTTTTTGAATGAAAGTTTTTGATATTTTCTAATTCTAAGCAGATGTTTGTTTATTCCCTGTGCTGTTTTTTGTTTATTACAGCTCATTATTTTCTTTTTCTGTTAATTATGCATATAAGCGAACAACATATCGTCATCAGGCTTTACTCGAATATACATGATAAGTTATGTGAAAATGTGAAACCAATCAAGACAATTCCCGTCAATAATCACAATGAATCGAAATAGATTGCGTCACTAAACAAATAAGGCAAAAGTACAAGTTGATAGTAGGAAGACGGGTATACTGATAGTAGGTAGAAAAATAAAATACGATAACAAAAGTTTTATCAATAGTTAAATCACAGTTCATAATTCGGGTCTTTCTCTACACCCATACCACAAAATTGCAAAGTGGCTAGTTCAAATCTTAGTGACTCTGCACAAATCAGTTGTACGAAGGAGTGTAAAAGAAGTTTTCGATCTCACTTCCAAAGTGGAAAATATGAATGTTAGTATTAAAAAAATATGTTCTCACTGGATGTCATATTTTTTTTACCAACGTACCACTTATCGAGACTATTGAGTTTATATGCAAGTAGCTATATCGGAAAAACAAATCAACATTGGCTTGCCTGAGGATAGCCTGAATGAAAGAACTGCTCTTAAGATGTGCGATGAATGTTCATTTCGTCTTCAACAATACTTTTTATAAACAAATAGATGGGTCAGCCATGGGCTCACCTCTAGATCCGATTCCAGCTGATCTCTTCCTAGCAAAGCTAAAAAATGGACCACTAAGTGAGTCTATTAAGACGCTTGATCTTTATTACCGCTACTTCGCTTAAACATTCATTATTGTAGATAAGAACACCATTAAAGAAAAACCCCTAGAACAATTCAACAATGTACACCTGGTAATCACTTTCACTGGTGAAGAGGAATGTGATAAAAAGCTAAATTTCCTTGAAGTCACACTAAGCAGGCGAAGTGATGGCTCGTTAAGTAGGAGCGTATACAGAAAAAGTCCCTCCTCTTGCCAATACACTCACTTTATAGTTTTATCCCTACCCATTACAAGAGACATCTAGTTCGATGTCTTACTTGCAGAGCAAAAATTATCTGTTCAATGGATACTTTAAATCAAGAGCTGGAATTTATCGACAACTCACTGAGCGAGATCGGCTACCCTAGTGCATGCATAAAGAATTACATGTGTAATGTAAAAAAGAAGTCGGAGACTTCGACCGTTCGAAAGAAGCCTTTATCCATTAAACTGCAACTCAGCGGAGATGTGGTTAGCGATATCCTACAGGACAGAGTAACGAAAGTAATTAGTTGCACATTCTACGCAGCCAAACTTGCATTGCCTCTCTCGAATCGACCAGTTATGTCTACTCAAACAAAGGATAAGTTTCCTGAGTTGGCCCTCTCAATGTGCATTTAAAAATACAGCTGCTCCTGTGCAGGTAGCTATATCAGACGTACTAGCAGGCAACTTAACCAACGAGTGAGTGAACATCTCCCAGCATGGTTAATGAAGATACAGATAAAAGCAATGCGAAGTTCTGTCTTGGCACATCTGGTTGTATTGGTCATATTGTAGATAAATCTGGATCGTTTCGAGTGATCTGTCGCATACCTCCATCATTTCCCATCCCGTTTCTTACACGTAACAGAAGCCATAGGAATTCATTGCGATTATTGACTGAAATCGCCTTGATTGATTTAACGTTTTCATATAAATAATAATCATGTATATCAGAATAAAGTCTGAAGACAATATTGTTCGCTTATGTGTCTTGTTCTAATTTTCACAATGGGAACGCTTAACATAATAATCATACTTTTAATTCATTCAGTTTGAATTATGATCAGTTAGTGCCGTTAACTACTGTAGAGTAAATTTAATGAATTATTTTATTATTTCAGCTCATTTTCTTAACAGTTCTGTATTATGTATTAGCTGCAAGTGGATCATGTTATCTTCCGGTCGCATTTATTACTTCATTAACACCAACATTTTCCGGGACAAATTCATTAATTACACATTTATATTCAACTGTAGAATTAGCTATAAGTGGAATATTTGTTGCCACATTAAAATTGGCTTTATTTTATGGTTTATATACATCACTTACTCATATTATATTTGGATTAGATCTTGTGATAATTCCATCTGGTAAGATTTTTCACTTTTTTTTTGTTATTTCATTTTGTATGGTTATATTGTATGATCATGGGAAAGTGGTCATAGTGTATAAATAATGTGAGAGGAAAAGTATCATGTAGAATTGCTTCTTTCTACTTTGGACACAACTACTTAGAGTTTAATTATTGCATCTTAAGTACACAAGTTTAATGGTAGAGTTTAATTCCAGTAAATTATCTGTCGATCTTCTCTTCACTTTTTTATCAATACTCGTAGTGCTAAAACACACTAACGGTAATACTAGTAATGTTAATAAGTAGCAGCAATATCATAAAAAAAAATCACTTTGCTGTGCATTTTGTGCACAATGCTCTGTTTACATTCATAACTCAAACATATGTATCTGATTGTTGTGATTAGGGATTTCTGGTTGTTTTGATGTGATTTATTTTCCTGTTTTGTTTTTTTTGTCAATATGATATTTCTATTATTACAAATTTATTTACGCATGAGTGTTTTACAAAAGTACATAATTATATCATAAGGTTATTATCACACAACTAGCACACCTTTAGTCACTGTTATTGTGTTATTGAGGAAACATTTTTACCAAGTATTGATATTTTCTGTGTTTCACTGACTACTTTAGCTCTATTTTAGATGATCTATAAAATGTTCAACATACGCATAGCCTTGATGAGATATTTGATTATCTATTAAGAAGTCAGACCATAGAGTCATTAACTCCTTTTTGGAGGAGATATCAAATTAAACGAGAAAAAAAACCATCTCTCCTGGATGTGTATCTTCTACTTTTCATCTGCCTAATTCGAAGCATTCGATTTACTGATTGTCTATTTTCACTTGGCGCGATGCATCTGTTGTTGCTGCTATGATTATTTCATTTAAATGACTTTATTTTATAATGGATAAATCTGTATGATACTTTAAAGGGAGTTTTATCGGCTGTATATATATATATATATATATACCTGTTAAGAAATAAAAAGTATGCAATTCGTTTTAATTAATAAACACTGAAATCTGGTAACCAATGAAAAACTAATTGCTTTTTTAACAGTATTTAACATAAATGGTAACTACTTTGGAATTTCATTGACTTTTCTTTTTGTAAATATAAAACTTGTGTTACAGAAATAATTGTAACAAGATGCCTTGTGCATATAGTGATTGAATTCGGTCAAAAATAATTTACATTTTACCATACTGTTGGATACCCGAAAAAATCACCTTATTCTCTCTTGAATATATTTTTTTAGTTATGAAACCATTTGTAAATCAACCTCTAAGCTGGATCACTTAAAAAGGTGACCGACTTCTTTTGTAATCAATATTGTCCAAACAGTTGGATGTATAAAGTTTTCACATATCTCTAAAAAGATACATATCGTTGAAACTATAAAATAAAGTTAATTAATTAATTAATTAATTAATTTCGTCACTTTAAAAGTAGTTTTATTTCAATGGTCAATCTGTTATATCATATTTCCATTCAATTTTATTTTATTGTCAGTGTTGGCTGCTCTATTAGGCGCTGTCCCAATTATCGGCACTTACTGGGCTGTTCTACCTGGTGTCATTGAAATTATTATAATTCGTCAATCATTGTCTCAAGCCGGTCTTCTCATACTTTTCCATTTATTACCAACATATTTTGTTGATATATCAGTTTATAGAGAAATTAAAGGGTAAAAAAATTTATTTCTGTAATTTATTAGTGAATAAATTATTTTATAATTGATTTTGTGAATTAGAAATCTTTGTGTCACAGAGTGTCAGATTCCTCTCTTTATATTACAACCCAGCTATCCCAGTTGCTTAGTATTCTCGGACACCAGTCCACTCAACAAGTCCCCGAAGTCAGAACACAATTGAACAGGGAAGAGATTATATTCCAAATAGCAAGCTTAAATGGAAGTAAGAAGCAGAATAGGAACAACGTTAGTATATATTTGTAGTTTTTACATGAAAAGCTTCTAGAATGTTCTCCAAGTATCAACTAGCGCCGATTGGATAATAAATAGCCAATCAGCGTGGAACAACGCAATCATGCTTTAATCCAATATATGTCCCAATGTCACAGAGCGCTTATTCCATTTTGTTTCTGTTGTGGAATATTGTTAGTTACTTTAAACTCATTTAGCTACAGGTTTCATAGATGTATTTTCAGGATGTATTATTTTTCATTGAATTTTATTGGTTAAGAAAGAAATTATTATACCATCACTTCACTTTTCTTGCTATAATGCTCCGGCGTTCCCTTTTCTTCTGTTTGCCATACCGGGATTTTAACAGTTAGGAAGAATAATAAATGCTGAAGAATTTCCTTGTCTCTCTTAATGATGTTGAGTTAATGCAGGTTATATTAGTATTTTATGGTAATTTGGTTCTATTTTATGGACCATTTTACTAAATATGCGATTTTCTATGGTTCTGCTTACTTTTACACCGGTATTCGAAGTGTTTTTCAGATTATCGATTGAAAAATATGAGAGGAAATTTTGGTCTCATTTTTTATATGCCACTAGTGTTTCAGCTAGTTGGTACAGTCTGCAGTAAGGTTTTAATTGAATTCAATAACTAACCAAGAGGAGTTATCTCATTTCATCGTTTCGTTTAACGGACTTGAATATCACAGATTCGATCTGACCAGAATTAAGTTCTCTTATTAACGCGTATATTCCTCTCTGTCTTGATAACTGTAATAGGTGTTTAAGCAATAAAGATTTAGTTTTTAAACTAATCTTTTTTGTGTCATACATTTATGTTACGCCTGCACGTAAACACGTCAACTTGATATACTTGAACTATTACGAGTTTACCTAGTCGGAAAACGAGAGCGAGGATCGAGGATCCGGTGACACGACATGCTACTCAAATCCGATTATCCCAACCCCCATATTTAGTAAAAATAAGAAGACGTGATATGAAGTAGAACCTGTATTCTATAAGCATCCAGAAAGTAGTGCATATTTATGCATTTTGGTCGAATAGGAAACAGCATCGAAGTCTGTGACATTGACAGTTAAGACGACCAATAGAAAGTAACATTTGAAGTGACATTGATAGTCAGGATAACCAATAAGAAACAACATTGGAGTACGTGACATTGATATCTAGGAGAACCTTAAAATTGACCAGTAAAAATTAACCAATAGGAATTGACCTATAATTCTCTTAGGATATTGGATGAATATCCTAACAGTTTATTAGTAATCAATAGGTATAACTCAGAACTTCAACACTTCATATAAACATTTATTAATGAAGAGTGATAATTAAACCTAACATAACTCACTAACTCCGTGTACATGTTTGTTTCCCCGAGTATACGCTTGATATAACATAAAACAGTTCATAACCCCTACTAGGTCTTATAAGCCTTAATCGGTGAGTGTTAGCCAATGCTATTCATTTTTAAATGAAAGAATATGACTGTTGTTATAAACTTAAGGAATAAGGTCAGTGTTCTGTTAAATATTTTCATTATGCATATAAAACCACTCCCGAACAATTGTGCATTGTATTCTTTTCATTCAGAGCTGGTCATCCTTATTTTACTGGTTTAGCAATTGCTGGTGGAATATACTGTCAAGGTCCTGAAGGTGCTATAATCGGTCCTATTTTACTATGTTGTTTCATGGTTGGTATAAATATGTTTCGATGGGCAATGGATTCTAGTAAAAAAGCGTTGTCTGTCAATCAATGTGGCTATAAATCGCAATACTCGCCTCCCGAAACACCAGCTACAGTGCATACGTGCCAAGCTTGTAATTCATCTGCCATGTCTGATCGTTTCCACACTGTAAACTCATGTAACAAGTATTCTACTTTATCTTCAAAGCTTCGTAGACCGATATTCAAAAGAAGACCAAAATACCGGTTGAATAAAAATTCATTCTCTATGCCAGGTAGGAATTCTGGCCTTTAATGTCATATATATATATATATATATATATATATATATATATATATATATATATATATATATATGAATTATTCTGGGTAACCTTCATGAAAGTATACAAAATTAAAAACTTTCTTTTTTGCTACGTTACTTTGTAATGTCCGAGTTTGACTATGTTTGTACTTAAAAGTTATGAAGCATTCAAATCCATCCATCAAAACTAAATAATATCAACTCAGAGCAACTGTCTTAATTTTGTTGCGGATATAATTTCAACCTTGCTATCTAATTTAGGAATACTTTAATTCAGCATCATATTTATTTATTTGTAAAATATATCTACGTTATCAGTTTTATAGTGTTATTTTATGTAAACTCCATTTTCACTTCCTACGAGATTGCATGCATAATTTTTAAAAGTTAATAACATCAATATGAATTCAGAAAATGAGATAATAACTTACGAACTTGGTAATCTGCTTAAGAATCTTGATAACATCTTCCTGAGTATTATCATATTCATTTAAAACCGGATCTTAGTCAGTTAGTCACTCATTCACAGGCATAGTAGAAACTGACGTTTATATGCATCAGTTTCAAGGGTGCCATTGGAGAATAATACAGAACTAAGAAATCATCAAATTGTATATCAAAGTAGTGTTGCAAGTAGTATTACTGTCAGTCATCCGAACAGGATTAAAAGTTAGACAATATGATTTTGATAAGTCTGCTAGATGAACGAAAGATCTGAATTTCTATACGCTTTTAATAACCTCAGACTAGTTTCACATTGAGACCCAAACACAATAGAAAAAGCATGAAGTTCGAGGTGAACGCTTTACTCCTGGACAGAAAATGAGGGTATTTTTAGAGTTACTCATGACCTTGTACCTCTGCAATTTGAAAACCATACTAAATTTGGTAGCGGTATTGCAAAATATTCGGTTGGAATTGTGGCATGTGATTCTTTATTTTCCAGATGCTTCTGCGAAGTTTCTATTCTCTGCTGATTAGATGAAACGTTTTCCGGACCTCTACAGACATTTCTGAGAGGTATTTCGGAGCTTCCCAACGTATTAGAAATTCCGGATCCAGTGGCCTGGTGAAAACCTCTCCTAAACATGTTTGTTCTGTTGCCAAAGGTTATCATAAAATTATTTGATTACTAAACAAAGCTATATCATCATCAGCATATTTGTTGCTTTATGATCAGTGAAACGATTATCGTGTCTTTTTTTTTTAAAATTGATAAAATAATGTTAAATCAATGTTAAAGAAAATAACGCAACATATTTTCAATTTTTCGTTAAATAGACATTTCGGACATATCTGATGAATCGCTTCAAACTGCACAAGTTAAACCTCAAAGAACAAAGGTAAGTGCATAGTATATATATATATATATATATATAGTAATGTAGTTTTATTCAGAACTGCAGACCACCATCAAGTTAAGAAATGTACTCTGACAATTATTCAGCGTTAAATAGTCAAATATTTTGGTTTTCTAACTAATCCCCGTCTATCCACTCTTATGATTTTAACACTAAACTTGCATAGATCGATTCATCTGTCATATATGATGAAGTGCTATCATTAGTTTACATTCCCATGTATGAGTAAAAAATTGACAATCAGTAATTACTTGGGTGAGGAAAGAGTAAATACTGCATACATTAAAATAGTTACAAGTATCAGATGAAATTTCTTATAAATAGTTCACTAGAAATGATTCAATCTGCATCATAGTATTAAACATCTTAACTTATCTTGTTGTAGAGAGAGAGAGAGAATTAGTTGTAGACAGATGCATGTCAAGTAAATTTTACTTTCATTCAAAATTGTATATTTAAAATTAACAAACTCACTGTATGATCTGAAGGCTCTAGGGTCAGTCCCCGATGGGATCTTGGATATATACGCATTGTCGAAGAGTCCCTTACGAGGATGAAACGGATGTCCAGTAGTAGTTGTCTAACTAAGATCAGTTTGTGTTTTCAACGATAACAATAGTAATTAGTGTGAAATATAGTCACGGTATTATTATTATTATTATTATTATTATTATTATTAGTGGTTGAATTAGTTCTAATGATAATTTTTGTAAAAGTTTGTCTATTTTATCCCATCATACTTATAGATGGTAATATTGTGATTATTTTCAGTTTCAGCAGAATTCACCAGTGTCACGTCTGCATTTCGCTGCACATACATCAACTCCCGCGTACGAATATATACCTTGATTGAAATAATTAATTAACCGATCGAAACAAAACATTTGTGTATCAGTTTTTTTTTATCAGAGGAAAGGAAATATCTATGTGTGTTGAATTTCTACTTAACACTGATTGTGAGGTCTATTTACACTGTATACGTGTAAACTATATCCAACGGCGATAATCGATAATGTTTTCACATCGATTTCATTTTGTTTGTCAATTGCTTTTTTTCCAAAGTGACTATTTATTTGCTTTACTGTCATTTTGTTTCGTTGTTCAAACCTCGATATTATGCATTTTTTTTTACTGTCTTTTGAGCTCTAGTTTCATATATATGCAAAGAAAAACATCAATAGTTTGAGGTGTAGCTTTCTATTTTATTTTAGATGTTGATATTTTTTCTCATAATCATATTAAATGTGAATCATAAGATTGAAAAAAAAAACACAGATTTTATTCTAAATGAATTATTAACTTTTTTTTCTCCGCTTTTGTACTCATCACATTTAAGTTAATTTTCTTTATTCAATTAGAAAAATTGGATAAACTATGTGAAGCATCATATTGATAACATTTTGAATTATCCGTTATATGTTACAACTTATTTTACTTGTACACCCTGAAATTATATCAACTTAGAGTAAAACTTAGTTACATGTTTGCATGGCTAATATGTCATCATTAAATCGAATCTAAGACATTTACATTATTGTGTTGCCATTTGAACTGATTGACTTTTTAATTTGTATAATTTAGGATTTATAAACACAGTGATTTGTGTAAGGAGATCTATTTATGGGAGCAACTGACACTAAGTCACTAAACGTCAGGAATTCAGTTTTCTACTCATTGAGACCTTACGAGTATATTTCCATTACTCAGTCAACTTTGGTAATTTTTTATTAAGTAGCGATAATTTCCGTCATCAGTGTTCCGTACAAGTACCACTGGGTTAGCGTTCTCTGGTCCGCATAACAACTTCAATCATATCTCTGTGACGCACAATTATCATCTGTTATCTTTCGTGATAACTATTTCTATTCTCATATTGTAGGAAGGCTATTTCTCTTGATCATTTCTAATTATTCCCTTTATGTTTATTTGAACTTTTATTTTATTTACATTTATTAGCTCTTCATGTATAGAAATGTCTTCACAAGTATGTATGACCATGTTATTCGGGATGTTTGGTTTAGACACATCACACTTGAAATCAACTGAGTCTTCTCATCTCAGTATAAAAATTCGTGAGACGGACTAACTTTAACAAATTACTGTTATAATATTGTTTACTTTTAGATGATATTTGGACCAATATTTCCATAGTATATTCTATTTTAACTGCCTAATAGACTTAAATAGGTACTTGGGATCAAAGGTGTAAATTATACAATAACAGTTACTCAGAATAAATACCCATATATCTGTATGATTCAGTTAAAACTGACCAACTGGAACCAACTTTAGAATTAAGTCTTCAAACGAATTTCGGTAAAAACATTACACTACTCAAAATTTAATAAGTAGTTTAGCTTGCGGGTGGAATTATTTGTCCACAGTGATTTTACGTTATAAATGTTTATGATATATTTCACAGAACTATGCATTCCATGAGTCATCTTAAGATATTTTATTGTTCTAGTAGAATATCACTTGTCCTTCCTGCTACATGTTTGATGCTAGTTACTTCTATTCCACTTTAACTCGTAATCGGACATGTTAGTCACTTGAACATTACTAGCTCAATCATACTATAAGTATTTTTTATCTACTCTGGATTTCAGACAACAGAAATAATTTAGCAAAGAGTGAAGATGAAAAACTGGCATGTTGTTAGGTTATACATATGAATTTGTTTGAACTGAAAATTTGACACTGTGAGTATAAAAAGACTGAATAGGTTAATGTTGTTTATAAATTCTCTCAGTGGAATCACTACTTCCACCTTGATTTATCGTTTTCTAGTTCACTGTATAGATGACTCAGCATTATTTATAAAATACTATGAACTGTTGGTATATTTTCTATGTAGTTGAACTCTTCAATGTAATTTTTAAGAATAGATAGTTTGTCATTTTCTGATAAAGTAATTTTTTGATCGTAAATTTACCACTGTTTCTAGGCTAGTTCACTGTTAATAACTATGAATTTATTTATTTGTATTAAAAGTAAATAGTTTTTTGCCGTTTATATTTAATCGTGAATGTAGGTAATTATAACCTAATTGCTTGCCTGCATTTTTATCGAGTTGACTAATTTTATGACAAATCAGATGCGAAATTTAGTAAGATCAATTAAACATGAATTTTTTTCAGGGAAATTATCTTTCTTACTAGTGACTATTTGTGTGAGGAATCTTCTCCAAGTTCTAGTGAGAAGCCGTGACCAGTGCATTTCAGCCTGTTCGGATGTAGACAGTAACTAACGAAGACGGTGTGTGAAGTTGCGTAAGACCGTGAATTGATCATAGTTAGACGCTAACCCCGTTGGAAGCTTGCCCAGTGGTCGGGAGCTTAGGCGTTCGCGCGGAAGACCGAAGGTCCTGGGTTCGAATCCTGCGAAGTGCACGAGTCGCAGAGGCCCACTGCTGATGAGTCCCACATCAGGACGAAACGGCAGTCCAGTACTTTCAGTTTTGTAATGCTGGTCTATCAATAATCGGTTGATTGATGATTTCAATAGGTTATATTTGTTAATTGATTTCAGTCAATGAGTTTAAAAAACAGTTTCAGCAGTGTATAAATTCTATTTTGTTAAAGGCGAAACAACAAAATAATAAATGAATATATTAAACAGAATGTAGAACAACTAGATTTGCATGTATATACTAAGTATGAAACAAAATTATTCCTTAAGTTAATTATTCTATAAAGACATTATTGTTTAGTGAATGATTTGCTCATACTAAGCTATTCCAAAAACTACATTTATTCTGTTTTATATTCTGTTATTCTGTTCATCTTCGCCGCAGGCTTTTTGGTACACTTTAAAGATGCCTTGAATCATTACAATTACATCACAAATAATATACATTAACGCAAAACAAATAATAATATAAATGTTATCTGAAATGTTTTTATTCACATAAAAGTTTTGAGAGGAACGACTGTGTAATTAATTGGAGTGTCAAATCTTCAGCTATTGCGCTACAGATTTTGGCAGTGTGTTAGTATTACATGTTTTCACACAAGTAGTTTGAGTGAAAGTTAGACAATTAAAACTACATCATTGGTAAATAAATCAACTTAATATTAATAACCTTTGAAGAGATTAATGGTTTTCAACAGATTCATTTGCTAACAGTCAAGGATTTTGAAAAAATACTTTGATACTCTATAGAAATAATAGCTAGATGATACCTGTGAAGACATCATGTTAAATACATAAAATCACATGAAGTCGTAAGTCATGGAAAATACATGAGTTAGAGTTAATTGTTTTCACTGTTAAATCCTGCTCATAATAATAGATAGCATTAGAAACAAAGTATGTTAATCTATTTTGAAACGTTTGCTGCTCTACAAATTAATCACATCAAAATGTAAATTAAACAATTATTGTTGATTAGAATGTTGCTAACAGTGTCAGTGTAATGATAATTTCGGTATTGATAATAATAAAAGTTAATGAGAATGTAAGGATGGAACAGATATGTACTTTAACGTTAAACGAAAGGACCTGGAAATTTAAAATAGTATTTTTTTTTATGGTAGATACCACTGCTCTTTGGCTCTCCGATTCCAATATTAACTTGTCTTATTATTAGTTTCTATCAAAGATCCTATCCAATATTCGTGATAGCTGGAATGTATTCTCAATATGAATGTTTGTGTAAATCGTTGAATGCTATAAAGGTCATTAACTTATCTAAACTAAACTGCTACTGAAAATGAAGAAGCACATTTAAATACAATAATAATTTCCAGTGCCTAATGACAGCAATCTTAGTCAGTTACAGCGTAGAACGTCGCGCATAAGTACATCAGTTCAGGTTGCATACCGCATTAGCAAAGCGACTCAATTGTCAGTTCAAATCCCATGGTGGTAGAGATAGTAGAAGTATAACTGATAATGTTGAAGATTAGATAGACGAAGAAAGAGGCTATGAGGAATTCAGAAGATTAGAATTTCATAGAACAAAACGAGTGGATGCACTTGCGCCAATGAATACGATAGTGAGCCATGTCGTTTCAGGTCTGACCATTGGTTACTATCGTCTTGCGGACCCCAACTCCCGGCCATAGCTGCTACCTTGTCGTGGTGATCTGAGGGCGAAGTCGTACTGTACAGGAGTATGACAGCAGTAAGGTGTTTCCCTCGGACAACCAACATCTGCAGTGACGCTGCCTTTTCACAAGCAATGAATTGGTTAGAAAAGGTCGACCATAAAATGTTACACATCACATTACCTCACGGATTTCAGTCTCTGGCGGTAAAGCCTTTTAAAGAAGAACTGAGCTAACACTTTAAAAACTTCTCGTATGTGTGTGTGTGTGACCGGCCTCAAGCAGTTGTTCGTTGGGCTCTGCGGTCACACTCAGGTCTCTAAGACCAACACTAATCCAACTTCTTATTCAGGTTCCTCAAGAAACACCATTCCACGGTGTGGGGCAGCCGGGAAGTGACATCCGCCCTCACACGCGTAGAGCACACGAGACCAAACTGGTCACAATCAAATGATACTAATCTACATTTTAGAGTATGAAAATTTCGTAACAGTCCGTCTAAATCAGTGTTCACCTCTGCAGCCTTATTCTACCTTTTTTTTACTGAATCTAACTTTTTAAGGTTCCCAAGGTATCTAGCTAATTTCTTTGTCTCTTTTTACAAAACAATAATAAATATTTTAGGATAAAAATTCACTTCTCCAAATCATGCTATTCCATGAATTTAAATGATAACTACAATTAAATGGAGAAATTCCCAAATACTGTTATCTTATTAGTCATTTCTTTGGTAATTTACTTATATGAAAAATAGTATGGCGCTTTAAATTATATGTGCACTCATGAAATAAAAGGACTGTAGTATTACTTTGAATGACCAAAACATCAACTAGGAATGCTTAATCCTGGTAAAGAAGTTCCCCAATTAAAATGATATGCATCAGTTTGAGAAAAAATTAATCAAGAATTAATTAGAGAAACTGCAGAATACTTTTGAATTTCCAACATTTCTAGCTCTTCTAACAGCAGAAAGGTATCCAGCAGGAGACTGCAGAAGGATTTACAAATTCCAGTCAGTTCTAGCCCATGTATAACAAGTAATTGCAACATCTAATCTGTCCGCCATTAACCCGGGTCAATGCATATCTTTTCAAATATTAAAAGGTAATACAAGATTAGCACCAATAATCTCGTCACTTTTCTCAAAGCAATCTGTGAAAAAAAGTAAAAGTTTTATTCTTTAAAATTAAAATTGATTTGAAGCACTGTCTGTAGTGTATATATCTCTTCATAAATTACGAATGTTAAACAAAAATCAATATGTAAAACTTAATTCCAGTTATCCTATGCAGAATGATTGTGCAAATACTAACAGTAAATAATTATGAATTCAGTTATTCAGAGAAAATGTAAAGGAATTACTTTGAATTAATAACTGGTGATTGGGTTGACTATTCTGAACAAATATTTATACATAAATGTATATTGACTTTCTGTTCATCTCAGGCCTGAATTCATTATATGATACTAAACTAAACCTTCTAGTTA